TGACTCTTCATCAACCATTTATTGTTCAAACTGTCTTTGACCTCAGTCCTCATTAAAGATTTGCTGTTTTAGCAAATACTTTGTAAAGACCTCAAGAAGGAGAGGAAGTGAAAGTGGTCAAACACCTGCCCTTGGACAATGAAGTGACAGGTAAAGAGAGAGTGTGTCTAGAGAGAGCTCCTCTGGTTACACACTTCCACTCAGTGGGTAACAAAATGGTAGACAGCACAACGCCCTCGAGACGGTTAGATCAAGAATTTGTATTGCAATCAATTTTAAAATAATGTAAAGGGGTTGATTTTCAAACATAAATTTATTATGAACAGTAACTGATATTTCCCATAGTGGGAGAGCCTAGATGACAGAGCTGGTGAGAAATATTTTCTCATTGAGGCTCCTTTGGGACTCTCTTTCTCTAAAGGCAGTGGATGAAATGACCTTGAATATTTTTAAGGTAGAATTGGATAGATGTTTGATAAACAAGAGGGTGAAAAGTTATCAGGGTTAGGCAAGAATGTGGAGTAATCAGATCAGCCTTGATCAGATTGAATGGGGAGCAGGCTTGAGGGGCCGAATGGCTTGTAATTCGTTTGTTCATAATCATTTCAATTGGATTGAATGAAAGAAATATTACTACTACTGTCTGTTGGAGTTAAGATAGAGTTAATGCGTCTGAGTGAACGTTGATGGTAATTGCAATGACTGCTAATATATTGACTTCTGAAGGAGGGTCAAACTGTTAGCTCTGTTTTTGTCTCTGTAGATGCTGCCAGACCTGCTGGCCTTCTTCAGCACTCTGCTTTTTGTTTCAGATCTCCAGCATCCACAGTATTTTGCTTTTTTTTTGTTTTCTCAGTGTTCTTGACTTGATAGAGGTGTACAAAATGATCAGAGGTATAGATAGAATAGACAGCCAGAGACCTTTTCCTAGGGTGGAGGTAGCTATTATGAGGGGGCATAATTTTAAAGTGAGTGGAGGTAGATATAGGGGAGACGTCAGAGGTAGGTTCTTTACTCAGAGAGTGGTAGGGGCGTGGAATGCATTGCCGGAGAGGGTAGTGGAGTCGGCCTCATTAGGGGCATTTAAGCGGCTATTAGATAGGCATATGGATGATAGTATAAGTTAGGGGTGGAGGTTAGATAGACCTTAGGATTAGGGTAAATGTTCGGCACAGCATTGTGGGCTGAAGGGCCTGTACTGTGCTGTACTGTTCTATGTTCTGGTGAGATTAGAATGCCCTTGGAACCCAGAAATGGCTTCACAGAATGGGTGATTTCATTGAATTGAATATTATCATTTAAAATGTGTAACATAATGTTCACATTTTCATTTGAGATCTGAAGAAGAGTCATACTGGAATTGAAATTTTAACTCTGTTTCTCTCTCCACAGATACTGCTGGACCTGCTGAGTTTCTCCATCTTTCTCTGTGTTTGTTTCAGATTTCCAGCATCCACAGTATTTTGCCTTTATTATAATTGTCACCATTCAATATGTTTGAAGGTTAATATTTAGAATGACATTGTCCTGTGTTATTAATTAGAATGCATTAAAATGATAAACCATCAGTAATGTGATCTGTTGTTAGATGCTACACAACATTTAACATTAATGTGCTGTATGCTTCTAATACAACCTTATTTAAATACATTCAAATCTTTTCGATCCTAGTAATTTAAAAAAGTCACTAGTGTTATGGTATTAGAGTGCGTAGTGAGTTGTCTTGATTCTTACCTGTCACTTGAAGAAATTCCAATTATCCAGATGTAAAATTTATTAGACTCTAAGAAACTGAGGAGCTTGTGTTAGATTGTAATCTGAAAATTACAAGGAGCTCACAGGCTCCCCGAAGCCCTGTTTGTACTTGACCTGCAAATGAGCATTTATTGCAAATTTGCGGTGGGTTTGTGTCCTGGAACACAATCCACAGGATTAACTGTACAGAGTAATTCATCCTGCCAAGGGCTTGGCATTAAACACCCACTGGGCTTGCGATTTACAAAACAAAACAAAGAGATCTATCACAGGCTGCACAAGAATACTTAAACTCAACTGCTATTGTTTTTGTAGTGAGTAAATGGTCATGACATGTATGATGTTTAGAATATTTAGAATCAATCCTGCTATCGGCTGTGTTGTGGTTTAAATACAGGCTACAGAGAGCACAATTTTCTCTCATCAGCCCATCGAAACGAAAGGTACTGTTGCAGTGGGTTCATCAACTTGAAACAATTGATAGAGACTTGGTTTCAAAGCAGCCTGTTAGATTGTTTCATATTTGAAACTGTAGAAAGAGGCCCGAATTTGTTGCAGCGGTGTATCTAATGGTGTTTGCTGTTAGTTAGACTTAACCCTGCTTCCTTTGGCTTATCACAATTTCCCCCACTAAGGAGCTGAAATTGCGAGGGGATAATTTCATCCCGTAGGGTAAGCAGGGGCATAATGGGGATCTCCTTAACCAACCAAGTTGAGGAATTGGGAATGTAACAGCTCAAGGACTGAGGCAGAATTGTAAACTGGGAGAGAGAGAATGCAACACCATTCCCTTCACCGACACGCAGTAGCAGCACTGTGTACCATCTACAAATACACTGCCTCATATCCTTTTATATCTCTAGTTAACAAAAAGCTACCAATCTCGAAGTTGTAAATGATTTATCTGGCATTAATTGCCATTTGCAGAGTAGACTTTCAAATTTCTATTGCTGTCTGCATGCCCCATATTCCAAGACTCCCCAACAAGTGGAAATAATTTCTCCTGATCTACTCATGTTGTTCTGATAATCGTTTGAAAATGTTGTTTATGTCATTCCTGAACTTGCTAAACTCTAAGCAGTGCAACAATGACTTGCTTAATCTCTCTTCATAGCTTAGCATGTTTGGTCCAAAAACTCCATTCTCTCCAAAGGAATGTAGAGTCATAGAGTGATCAAGGTCTACAGCACAGATCAGGCCCTTCAGTCCACCGAGTCTGTACCAGACAAAAACAACCACCGAACTATTCTAATCCCATTTGCCAGCACTTGGTCCATAACCTTGTATGCCTTGGCATTGCAAGTGCACATCTAAATATTTCTTCAATGTTATGAAGACTTTTGCTTCTGCCACCCTTACAGGCCGTGAGTTCCAGATTCCTACCACCGTCTGAATGGAAAAGGTTTTCCTCACAATATCTCCTTCTCAACCCATGGTGCTACAGTGACTCCAGCTGTGGTCTCAACCTCCTTTAGAGCAAAGGACCCAGTAGCTGCCAATTATGGGTTGTTAGAAGTTGGGGGAAGGTTGTGTTCGAAGTCAGAATTGGAGAAGTATAGAGTTCCTGAAGGGTTGTGGTGATCTGAAGAGATTACAGAGATATGGGGGAGCAAGGACACCGAAGGTTTTGAAAACAAGGATAAGGATTCTAAAATTGAGGCAACCCCTAGGAGAAGGTAAGCTAGTGAGTGGAGGGGTGAAAGAGATTTGGTGCAAGTTAAGGTGTGGACAGCAAGCCGAAATCTGTTGACTCTAACAATAGCAATCAGGGCAACAGTTGCAGAAATATGGCAAAGATATTTTGTAACGAACTTGTTTGGAGCAGGTAGGACTTGAGCTTTGGCTTCCTGGCTCTGAGGGAGGGACACTACCACTGCTCCCCAAGGACCCTGAGAAATATGCCAAAACTTCTGATTTAACACTCACTCAGTTGAGGAAATCTGTCCTCAAGAATGGCTTCCATAGCTGGAGAGTGAGAGAGGAATGTAATGTCTTTAGAAAAAGCTAGTGCCATGCTAAATTAAACAATCCAACAGAGGTAGAATTTAGTTTGTATTGTATCACTGAAAATGCCTAGTAGTGTTGAGAGGAGCTTTGCTTCATGTTGAATTAATTTTGTGCCAGAGTCGTTCCTTAATTATTGATAAACACCGACTCTTTGTAAGTCAGTCGGTTAAACGTTGAGAGTAAGTATCAGTGAGTATTTGGATCTGGGTTGGAAGAGGGTCCTTGTTTCTTTTCCTGTTGTTCACACTGAGAACCTTGTGAAATTTCTAATTACCTTATCATTGAAGTGAATGTTTGAAAGAAGTCAGTACTCCTTGACCGTACATGGCAGGGAACATGGTCCATTAGTTAAAATTGATAACCTGAGTTTTATTTTACCAACGTAATTACAGGTTATTACAATAGGCTGCAATTTGATTGGTGGAACATTGAAATACCTCCTGCTTTTTACCTCATGGGTCATTTTGTACCTCTTGAGCCAAAATTCTTTGCTTGATTAAAAATTGATCCATAGGCTTTAAATGAATGCACAATTACAGCAATTTATCACGACAGACAGGGAGTGCAGAAACACAGTGGTGTGTTCTCCAGTTTAAATTCAGAAACTGCATGAAAGTGAAAGTTTCCTTCCTCAATCAGAACACTGTAACTGCTCGTTCAGCGTTTGCAAAATCAAAACCTGGCTGACAGAGGCAGTGCAGCTTGCTGCAGTTATAGTGCTGTGACTGAAAATGCACAGTCCACATCCTCACGTGTCCTCCACAGTCAGGGGATATAATGACCTTGATTATATTTTACTTATTCTTAGGACATGGATGTCACTGCCTGGGCCAGCATTTATTACCCATCCCAAATTGCCCTTGAGAAGGTGGGGGTGAGTTGTCTTCTTGAACCGCTGCAGTCCATGTGCTGCCCTTTAGGGAGGGAATTCTAGGATTTTGACTCAAAGACACTGAAGGAACAGCGATATATTTCCAAGTCAGGATGGCGAGCCTCTTGAAGGGGAACTTGCAGGGGTGGTGTTTCCATGTATCTGATCCCCTTGTCCTTCTAGATGGAAGTGATCGTGAGTTTGGAAGGTGCTGTCTGAGGATCTTTGGTGAATTTCTGCAGTGTATCTTGTAGGTAGTACACGCTGCTGGTACTGAGCATCAGTGGTGGAGGGAGTGGGTGCTTGTGGATGCAGGGCCAATCAAGCGGGCTGCTTTGTCCTGGATGGTGTCAAGCTTCTTGAGTGTTGTTGGGGCTGCACCCATCCAGGCAAGTGGGGAGCATTCCATCACACTCCTGACTTGCGCCTTGTAGATGGTGGGACAGGCTTTGGAAAGTCAGGAGATAAAGGTCACTGTAGGATTCTTAACATCTAACCTGAGAATGATTACATCAGGCTTTTGTTGATTTTTAATGTTAATTTTGGTTTGCCGTTATCGTTTCTGGTGCTTTAGTCAATACCAGATGGCCCACTTGGTTTCATCCCATTTTCAAAACTTTTTAGTATTTCACACAACTGACTGGGTTGCTGGGCCGTTTCAGAGGATAGTCACAAGCCATCCACATCGCTGCGTAGGCCAGACCAAGCAGGGATGGCAGTATGACAACAGTTTCATGGTCATTGTTAGACCTTTCATTCCAGATTTTATTGAAATCAAAATTCACCATTTTAGTCCTCAGAACCTTACTTAGATCTCTGGATTACAATACAACAGCACCTAAAGAAAATGAGGAAAGAGAAATCAATTATGAGAAAAAGTTATTTAGAACTACAGATACAGGCAAGTAATCATTCCTACAAATATTTAAAAAGACAAACAGTAGCTGAAGTGAACATTGAACCTTTGGAGGGTGAGATTGCAGAATTAATGAGAGGGACCAAATAAATGTGGGAAGCATTAAACACATGATTTGCATCAATCTTCACTGCAGAAGATATAAAAAATTCCAAGAAAAGGAAGGAAGTTATTTTAACCAATGATGATTGCTGGAGAAAAGGTATTGAGATGACAGCTTGCATCCTGGGATCTAACAGAAGTAGCTAAAGAGACGATAGATGCATTGGGTGTAATCTTCCAAAATATCCTGGGTTCTGAAAAGAATCCCATCAAAGTGTAAAACCATGGACATAAAACTTCTGTTTAAGGAAGGTAGGAGACAGAAACCAGAAAACTATGGGCCATTTAACCTAACATCTGCCATCAGGAAAATACTTGAATCTATTATCAAAGAGGTTACAACAGAGCATTTAGAGAATTCTAATGCAATCAGTCTGAATCTGCATTGTTTTGTGAAAGGGAAACTGTATTTAACTAACTTGTTAGAGTTCTTTGAGGAAGTAACAAGCATGGTTGATAATGGAGAATAGGTAGATATGATGTATTTTGATTTCCAAAATACTTTTTATAAAGTGCTATATGAAAGGTTACAACATAAGATAAGAACTCATGATGTAAGGGATAATGTGTTAGCATGGATAGAGGATTAGTTACTAACAGGAGGCAGAGAGTCAACATAATTGGGTTATTTTCATGTTGGCAAGTTGTACGTGGTAAAGCAATTGAGATCATTGTGAGGGCCTCAGATATTTACAATCTCAATGAATGACCAGGGACTGAGTACTCATGGTTGCTGTATTTGCTGGGAAAACAAGTTGTGAAGAGGGCAGCTAGTGACAGAATATTCTAGTTAATTATAGGCCTGACTTCTATAATTCCAAGCAATTCAGTCTAATTGTTTGCAGTTAAAGTCACCGTAGTCCTGTTCTCTCATGAGAGAGAGATGACTGGTGGTGGTTTAATCTGAGGGTCACCACACCTTAGGTGAGGGGAGAAGTTGAGAATTTAACCCACACTGTTGGTATAATGCTGCACCACAAACCAGCTGTCCAGCCAACTGAGCTAACCTTCAAGATATACCAAACTGGCTGTGAAATCCATTGGGACATCCAAAAACAATTAAAGAAGCTATATAAATGCAAGTTTTTCTTTTAAGTGGGCTTGCACCGCTACTAAAACAAGCTAAGCAATTTCATACCAATGCCCTGTGTTAATATTAGACAGTGTAATGTTTAGATTGTGGAGTCCTTTTGGAGAACATGGATAAATCAGGACAATATTCCAAATTTTGAGCCCACATGTACATCCATGTCACTAGTACTGACTACATCATTAATTATCAAACTGGTTTCTGCAGTCTTTCCAAAGTAATTTCGCCTAAAATAATTACTTGAAATAATATTTCAAGGTTTGCAGTACTTGACAGTATTTCCTACTAAATTCACAGAGATGTCAAGCAATTTGACACTGGATCTAATTGACACAGCCAGCTTGTTTTTAGAAAGAAAGTAACTGCTGTTTCAGGGTACTTTGCAGGAAAGTGGAATGGGCTGAAAAATAGAGTTGGTTCTGCAGTTGTTGTAACGAGGGGATAAATGATTACTGTAAACGTCAAAGGAATGCAGACAGTCTGGCAATGGAAGGAAGGAGGTCACTAATGACAGGGGCCCTACCCGCTATAATCTGTTGGTCTTTCCCCATTTGTCCATCTGATCAAGTTTATGAGTGTAAATCAAGTTTGGTAATCTCCACCGGTCTAGACTAGGATGATAAAATCCACATATCACCCTTTAAATCATTATTTGTCCTTTCACTGTTCTGGACTGTGCTGCACTACATATGTAATGAACTTGTCAAATTCACAGTCAGACTTTCTTAAATTTTGTTATCTTAACTAGAATCCAGTGTGTTACCCCCACCCCTGGAATCCTGCTGCTCAGTTCCAGTTTTCTTTACCACTTGAACCATGAAATGAAACAAAATTTTTCACATAAAACTGACACATTCCCTAAAGCAGGACAGCTTTGTCTGAGCTGCAGTTGCAACATTTGCTGAATTTGTTTCTCATCCTCAGGATGACTTATTTAAACCTCCATCAAATGAAGTTCCATTGCAAATGATAAGAAGACGACAATGTGAGGCTTGGACTCATATACGGTGAAGCATGATAAGAATAAATCCTTTTACACCGTGAGGTTTTTCTTCCTGAGTGAACTGAAGCTGATTTTTTACAGCTCCCCACCGCACTGCAAAGTGTGCCTTGATGGTGTGGCTGTTGAAATTCCTTAAACACTTTGCTATTTATCAGTGCTTTCTGCAGAGTAATGTGTGGAACGCTTGATAAATTCATTAGTTGGTTTACTGGTTTGTCCTTTCACTTACAAGTGAAACACTGTAATGAGTTCATAATTAATAGTTTAGTGCAATTAAGTGGGCTGTTTGCCAACAAAGTCAAAAAGCCTAAGGTTAAGAATTAATTCACAATTCACTGACTCCAAAGTCAAAGAGAAAGTTGACTTCCACCAGTAATCTACACCCATAAGCTAATACCCTGAGACTATGGGTTCATAGAAACATAACATCGTAGAAAATAGGAGCAGGAGTAGGCCATTCGGCCCTTCAAGCCTGCATCACCACTCCATATGATCATGCAATCTAAGTATCCTATTCCCACTTTCTCTCCAAACCCCTTGATCCCTTTAGCTGCAAGGTCCGTATCCAGCTCCCTCATGAGTATATCTAATGAAACGGACCCAACAGCTTTCTGAGGGAGAGAATTCCACAGGTTCACAAGTGTCTGAGGAAAGAAATTCTTCCTCATCTCAGTCCTTTTATTCTTTATTCATTCACAGGATGAGGGTGTTGCTGGCCAGGCAGCGATTTATTGCCCATTCCTAATTGCCAGAGGGCAGTTGAGAGTCAACCACATTGCAGTGGGTTTGGAGTCATATGTAGGCCAGATCAGGTAAGGATGGCAGTTTCCTTACCTAAAGGTCATTAGTGAACCAGATGGTTTTCCCCCAGACAATCGACAATGGATTAATAGCCATCATTAGATTCTTAGTTCCAATAGTTTATTGAATGCAAATTCCACCATCTACCGTGGCAGGATTCAAACCCAGGTCCCCCAGATGTTATCTGGGTCTCTGGATTAACAGTCCAGCAATAATACCACTAAGTCATTGCCTCCCTGTACTGAATGGCTTATCCCTTATTCTTTGACTATGAGCCCTAGTTGGCTTATCCCTTATTCTTTGACTATGAGCCCTAGTTCTGGCCTCCCCACATCCCCCACCACCCCCCCCCCCACCCCCCGCAACATCAGCAACATTCTTCCCACATCTAGCCTGTCTGGTCCCATCAGGTGTTTATATGTTTCAATGAGATCCCCTTTCATTCTTCCAAAGTCTTCTAAAGTTTAAGTTCTGTTGGTGAGATTTGAAAGCAATGAATAAATCCAGACTTTAAAACTCGGGTGACCAGAAAATATCATTGATTGAAAATCCACTTAATTCATTAATGTCCTTTAGGGAAGGAAATCTGCTTCCCTTACCTGGTCTGACCAACACATGACTCTGGACACACAGTAATGTGGTTTACCTTCAACTGCCTTTGAAATAGCTAATTGAGATGCTCAGTTCAAGGGCAGCTAGGAATGGGGCAACAAATTCTGGCCTTGCCAGAAGCACTCACACCTCAGGAAAGAAGATGCGATGAGTTTAAATGAGATTTATGAGATTTTTTATTTCTTGTGCAGAATTAACCCCTTGTGAATTACAATTATATGGTTACAGCAGTGACTACAGATCAGAGAGTACTTCCTTTGCAGTAAAGCACTTTGAGATTCCCTGAGATTATGAGTGGTGCTATGGTATTGGAAATGTTCTTTACATTGCAACTTTGAAACATGTGATTTTACTTTGGGAATCAGCATACTACAAAGATGCATCCTTGCACTGTTTGTTTGAAAGAGGAGTTTATCCTTGTGGAAAATTCCACCTCACAATTTAACTTTTACGATTGTGTTGTTCATTTCTGGTTTTGCCTAAAATGGCTTACCAGCACTGACATCAAAAAAAGGTATTAAAAAAAATCAGAAAGGGCCTCTATGAAGTTTCCAGGGGTGAGGGGGCCTACAGTTTTGGGGAGAGGTTAGGAAAGTTCAGATTGTTCTTGTCAGAACAGAGAAGGTTGAAAGGTGACCTCACGGAGGTCTTCAAACTGTTGAGAGGGTTTGATGATGGAGCCAGAAAGCCTCTTCCTTTCGCTGAGTGGGTCAGTAACCACAGGTTAAAGACTGAAATATCACTGGAAAAAAAAGATCTAGAGAAGGGGCTGAGGAGAAATATTTTCACTCCAAGAACCGTCAGGATCTGGAGCACTCGACCTGAAAGGTGGATGAAGCTGTTTCAGTAATTTTCAAGATGGCGTTTATTGTCAAAGTCACCTCTACGTGGCACTGTGACTGCGAGTGTGCCGAAACACAGGTTAGTGTCAAGTCACTGTGCAGGGATGGGATGGCAGCTACCAGCGACAAATTTGGGCAGAAACCAGGAATGACATCATCCCAGCATTGTTCCCTATGGAACACCACTTCCCACCTTTTGCCAGTGGGAGCAGCACCTCTGAGATGAGGTGAGGGGAATCCAGGAGCTTAAATCCGTTCTTGTGTTTTGTCTCCAGTTTTCCATTCAGTCCAATCAGTCTGATCTACAAGGTGGCTCAGGTCAGGCTTTTTGGGACAGGGGTGAGGAGGAGGCAGTGAGGGAGTGAGGGTCGGAGGGAGGGTGTGGGCTGCTCATTCTCCCTCCCTGTTTTCTGAAAATGGGGGCTGAGGGAATAGCTGTAATTCCTCGGGGGGGGGGGGGGGTGGCGGCCCC